GGAGAGCATGACCTGTCTTGTTCACCGTTCTGTTTCTGATGCCCAGCATGGCACGCAGCACATGTGGAAGATGCTCACGTGTCCATACTGAAGGAATGAATCCACGTCTTCCTAGGGAGGAAACAGGCTCAGAGATGGAAGAGTTACTTGCTTAGAGTTGCACAGACAGTACCTGGCCTGCCTTCTGTGGTTCCCAAGCCCGTGCGTGGGTGGTGGCAGTCACTTGCCATCTCCCCTAATCTCAGGACCTCTCCCGCTCCCATCCAGGTGACATCATCCGGAAGATCGTCCCCAACCACGAGCTGGTGGGGGAGCTGGCGGGGCTGTATCTGGAGAGCATGAGCCCAAGCCATCGCAGCCCTGCCAGCGTGGAGCCCACCGCGCCCAGCACCGGCCCTGAGTGGGACCCCCAGGGTGGGGGCTGCCCCCAGGACGACGGCCACTCGGGGACCTTTGGGAGCGTCCTGGTCGGGAACCGCATCCAGATCCCTGATGACTCCCAGCCTGAGAGCCCCGGCCCGCTGGGCCCCATCCCCGGGGTGGGTGGCGGGGACCTCGGCAGCCAGAGCGAGGACAACGTGCTGAAGCGGAAGCTGCCGCGGAGCGTGCACGGCCTGAGTGGGAACTGGCTGGCGCACTGGCAGTACGAGATCGGCGTGAACCAGCAGGATGCCCACTTTCACTTCCACCAGATCCGCCTGCAGAGCTTCCCCGGCCACTCAGGGGCCGTCAAGTGTGTGGTGCCCCTGAGCAGCGAGGACTTCTTCCTGAGTGGCAGCAAGGACCGCACCGTGCGCCTCTGGCCCCTCTACAACTCTGGGGACGGCACCAGTGAGACAGCCTCACGCCTCGTCTATGCCCAGCACCGCAAGAGTGTCTTCTTTGTGGGCCAGCTTGAGGCCCCGCAGTGTGTGGTGAGCTGTGACGGGGCTGTGCACGTCTGGGACCCCTTCACAGGTGAGCGGGCCCAGGTGAGGCCTGTTCTGTTGCTGCTGTCCTGTACTCCACCAAGGGTGGTGGGTTGGGGTATAATGGTATGTGGTTGAGGGTGAGCCGGTGAGGCCACGGAGAGGAGCATCTAAGACTCAGAATCCGTCATACCCAAGTTTGAATCGGCTCTGCCAACTTACTTGCCGAGTGACCTTGAGCAAGTCACTCTGCTGCTCGAAGTATCAGTTTTCCTATCTGCAAAATGGGAATCAGAACAGCTGCTTTAGAGGATAGTGCATAGGGGTTTAGCTTAACGTGGAGCACGTAGTACCTGGTTGGTAAACAGTTGCTCACATATTTTTTGTCATCATTGTAGGCAGAAATAAGGTTAGAAAGCAGGGGTTAAGGAGGTAGAGTAGCTTTGAGGTAGGTGGTGGGGAGGTTGCTTTCGGCGAGGGTGCTGTGTGGAGAGAGGGGCCTGGCTTGGCCACGGAAGTAGGAAGGTGGGAGGGTCAAGAAACATCTTTCGCAGCATTTATTGAGGTTTCCTGGGATGTGGGAGGCAGGTACGGGGTTGGTTGGGGGGATAGGAGGAGTCGGGGCTCTTCCGTCAGTGGCCGGGACCCAGATCCACCGTGCCTTTCCTTCCCAGGGAAGACCCTTCGCATGGTGGAGCCGTCGGACAGCCGGGTGCCCCTGACCGCTGTGGCTGTCATGCCCGCCCCCCACACCAGCATCACCATGGCCAGCTCTGACTCGACCCTGCGCTTTGTAGACTGCCGGAAGCCCGGCCTGCAGGTCAGGGCATCCTGTTCCCTGAGCCCTGGCCTGGGTGCCTGGCAGGGAGGAGAGACCCCTGAAGAGAGGAGGCCAGGGCAGAGTTTCTCTTTGGTGACAGATCATCTGCAGCAGCAAACCCTGGGGGGGCGGTGGGGCTCTGGCTCTGGGATTTGGGGAGCCCCCCCTTGATGGGGGACGAGGCTCAGGCCTTCCAGCTGTGTGGGTTGGGGGATGAACTGGACCTCGGGGAGATGCGGGTTGGAGCAGGCTGTGGCGCCTCAGCTTGTCTTCCTCTGCCCACAGCATGAGTTCCGCCTGAGCAGCGGGCTGAACCCTGGGCTTGTCCGCTCCCTGGCTGTCAGCCCCAGCGGCCGGAGTGTGGTGGCCGGTTTCTCCTCGGGCTTCATGGTGCTCCTGGACACCCGTACGGGCCTGGTTCTGCGTGGCTGGCCTGCCCATGAAGGGGACATCCTGCAGATCAAGGTGACAGACCAGGTTCCCTTCCCCTCCTGGCTGACTGCTCCAGCCGTCACCTCTGCTTAGAGCCCACCCAGGACAGGCTCCAGCTGACCTCCCTTATACCTGCCCGAGGACTGGTGGGCAGGGAGGGTCAGGAGCCAGCTGCACCATGGGGGCCTCGGCAGGAGGCTGGCCGCTGGGTGGAACCGGGGGGCCGAGCTGACCCTGCTGCTTCCTGGTGATGTTCTAATGAGTAACCCTTGTCCATATTTGTCTTACTTGGAGGATCAGGGGTCGGGCCCTGTCCATGACCCAGTCAGGTTAAATAAAGCTCAGCTGGGAGGCTGTTTACTGCCCCCAGACCACTGAGCAGAGTCCATGCCCCCAGCTGGGCTGTCCCGGTGCGGGCAGGGGCGGATCGGGCATGGGAATCCTGCCCCCACCTCCACCCCCAGCCCATTTTCAATCACAGACCTCAGGGAACTGCTCAGGGAGGTGCAGGAGGGGAGGAACAGGGCTCTTTGTGGGAGGGTTTTTCCAGGCAACTGGGACTCCCTCCCCATCCTAAGCAGCAACCACTGCCACTGCTGGGGGCAGGCAGCCCCTGGTTCCCTCCAGGGCCCCCCAGGGGATCCTGGGTTCTGGGTGCCTCTAAATTCTGACTTTCCAAGAAAGCATCAGGAGGTCTCTAGGGTCAGCCTGGGTGTTAATCCTGGCTCTGCCACTTATTGGTTCTGTGACCTTGTATGATTACTTAACTTTCCTGAGCCTTAGTGTTTTCCTCTGTAAAATGGGAACAATGACAACACCTTCCTCATAGAGTTGTTATGAAGATTAACCACGGTTAAGACGTGTAATGTACCTAATACAATGCTTGACATAGTAAGTGCCCAAATTATAATGATGACTAGGTTGATGACACTTAATATATTCCTGTTAACTGACGTTGATATAACGTGGGAGGGTGGCAGCCTGTCCCCGGCTCAGGACACCCTGTCCTCCTGGGAGATCCTGTGGGAGGAAACAGGAAGACCCTGGGCCCTGCTGAGGCTCTGCTCTCCCCGGGCAGGCGGTGGAGGGCAGCGTCCTGGTCAGCTCCTCCTCTGACCACTCCTTGACTGTCTGGAAGGAGCTGGAGCAGAAGCCCACGCATCACTACAAGTCCACCTCCGACCCTATCCACACCTTCGACTTGTACGGCAGCGAGGTGGTAACTGGCACCGTGGCCAACAAGATTGGCGTCTGCTCCCTGTTTGAGCCGCCTTCCCAGGCCACCACCAAGCTCAGCTCCGAGAACTTCCGTGGCACGCTCACCAGCCTGGCCTTGCTGCCCACCAAACGCCACCTCCTGCTGGGCTCAGACAACGGGGTCATCCGCCTCCTGGCATAGTCCGAGGCAAGAACTGGCCAGGCGGAGGTGGGCACACGTCCTCCGGGAGTCCATCCCTCACCTTTGTTTCCCCAGCAGCATCCCTCCTGGCAGGCCTCAGGCCCCATGCCCTGGGTACCCACATGGCCTGCCAGCTAAGGTGGCCTGGAGGTCCGGGCTCCTGAACCCCCAGAGCCACTGAGGCTGCCAGAAGGGATCTCGTTCATGGCTTGGGGCGATGCTGCCCCACCGAGCCAGCAGGAAGCAAGAGCGAGAGCCTGGGGAAGGCATTGCTGCCCTCTCTTCTCCCCAGCTCCGCCCTCTGCATCCACATGGGGACAGGAAGCTCTGGGAAGGGGAAGGGAGACTCTCCCTGCCTAGCCAGTCTCCAGCCACAGCACCCCTTGCTGGGCTCTCTCTGCCCCTGTCCTGCAAGGACCGGGACGCCACCACAGTCCAGGACACTGATGGTGCTTGGACTCCAGCCTCTAAGGGCTGGCCATGGTCCAGGAGTTAGGGGCCTTGGGCAGTGGTTTAAGTGTCCTCCCAGCCAGGCCCTGCCCAGTGTGGGACCAGTAGGGGAAGAAAGAGGGCAGGACCAAAGGAGAGAAGATGGACTGGGCCTGTTGGTGCCTGCCAGGAGCGACCCCATGCCTTGCCTGCCCACCCGTCACCACAGTGTTTGTGCCTTGAGTTGATGAGACAGCCCCTGGGTCCAGAGTCCCTGGGGGAGCAGGTCCAAGACCCTGAAAGAAGGGGCAAGAAGGGTCATCTCTGCATCTCAGGTCTCCCTCCCCCAGGGGACAGGAAGACCCAGGCATCCCCGGGTCCTCACGTTCTGGAGCAGAGATGAGGTCTGGGGCTGGGCCTCTGCTGCTTTCTCACTATTTGCAATAGATGTAAATATGATCAATAAATTCTTTGGAAGAGCCGTGGAACCGAGTGAGGCTTCTCTTTTTTTTCGGCCGTGCAGTGGGAGCGCGGAGCCCCAACCCCTGGACCACCAGGGAGGTCCCTGAGTGAGGCTTTTCCTGACGACGGTGCCAGGGTGGGGAAAAATTGAGACCCTGCAGCTTCCGGGACAGCGAGGAGAGGGTGAGGAGGTGCGGAGGCAGCCCGATCACTGTTCTTCAGGCGGTACTGGGTACAGGGCTTCTGGTTCGTGCAGCCCCAGGCCAGTTTCCAGAACCCTCACCCTTGAGGAGGGTAAGGAGGTATTGCTCCCGATGAAGTAGGGTGCTGGGAGAGGCTGTGTCCCTCCGCATCTTTCCTCTCCCCACCCCTGCCGTCTGGATCCAGGCTGGGCACGTGAGGGTTGAGGATGGGCATCCTATCCTGGGTTCCTGCGTCGTCTCTTGCAGCTTCCGCTTCCCTCCTCTTGGGAGGGGGAGGCAGTTATGGGGGAGAGGAAAGGACATTGGAACTAGGAACCTGAATGTAACTCTGAGCCCAGCTCTGTGTCCTTGGGCAGGTCACACAGCTTCTCTGTGCCTGACTAAGACAGGGATAACCTCTCACTTCATGGGGTCACTGGAAGGCCCCTGTCCTTCCTGGATCTGCCCTCCGGCTGACGACAGCCTCATCGACCGTCTCCTGAACCTCCTTTCTCCGGGCTTAAGTGGGACCCACATCTACGGGGGTTCCAGGTAGCTGTCCCAGTATTAGATGCCTTGGCGGGAAAAGGGTTTTTGGTCCTAATATCAATGTTTAACCGGATGTGCAGGTCAATGTTTACCAGAAGAGAAAGCAATTGGAACAGGGGTTGGCTGAGAGCAAAGGTCCTGGTGGCAGGGGAGGGCTCAGCCGGGCTGGCTGGAACCCGGGCACAGCGTGGGGAGCACCCAAGTGGGGCCAGAGGGACATCGTGTGCAGCGGTGAGGAGCCTGCCGAGGTAAGATGGGTGGCTTGGCCTGGAGCTGCCCGCCTTGCCGAGGGGGTCTGGGCTGAGTTTATTCAGGAGACCTGTCACTTCTCTGCCTCCTGGGGTGATGAGGAACCAAGGTGGAGGTTCTGGGGGGAGTCCCTCTGGGAAATGAAAGCCTGGAAGCCTTTTCTTGACAGGAAGATTCAAAAGCCCAGGTGGGAGATCAGGGCCCTGGCCAAGCGTCCTTGTGTGGGATGGGGATGGGGCCACGGGTGATAGAAGGATGCTTGAGATGGGGGCGGGATGGGTGTGTGTGAGACCTGCTCCGAGGCCGGACCAAGACCTGCCCATCCGCACCCGCCAGCCTGGCTTCCCGGAGCCAGCCTGGGGCAGAGAGAGGGCCAGGTCCTGTGTTTTCCGTAAGTCCAAAGGTGGCTCTGGCCAGAGTCATTCATTGGGCTCTGCTGTTGGGTCAACAAGGCCGGTCTCTGGCCCAGTCCACCATCCCTGCTGAGACCACAGTCCCGTCCACCCTTGTGGGCAAGAGCAGACCAGCCAGAAAAGGTGGGCCGATGGACAGCCAGTTGGATAGGAGCTCCGGGGTGGAAGCCTCAGTACAGAGGAGGCTTCAGGGCAGGCGCCTCCCACGAGAGGGCCCTTGGGCTAGACTGACAGCAGCCATTGCTGAGTGCCAGGCCGTGTAGTCAGGGCTCACGAAGACTGACTTAGGTTGGTCTCCGCGATACACATGGGTAGAGGTAGGGACTTTCGCCACCATTTTACAAGATGAGGCAAAGCCCAGAGGGGTTAAGGGGGATGTCCTACGTCCTCTGCCAAGAGGCACAGCCTGGATTCAAACCCAGGTCTGACTCACAACACCAGGCCTTGAAGAATGGGGACATGTTTTTGTTTGGGTAATATTTTCCCCCTATGAACAAAAACATTTTCAGTGCATGAAAAGTGAACAATCAGAAAACGCAAAGGGGAAAAAGCAACTCAGGGGGGAGTTCAAGCAATTCACCGCTCAGAGGGCTGTGCTTTGGGCGTGTGTGCTGCCGCTGTCGCTGTCCCCTCCTTGGTGACGGCTCAGGACTTCGGCTGCCCATGAGCGTGAGGGTGGGATTCCACGGCGGGTGTGGGCGCGAGGAAGGAACGGAGGCTTCCCATCCCGCACAGGAACATGGCGCTGCTCTGGCTGCCTGAGCTTGTCCTTGTGCTCAGCTTGTCCTGCCTGCAAAGCCCCTGCTCAGCGGTGAGCCTGGGCCGCGGTCTGGGTGGGGCAGGGAGGCGGCTACGGGAGACGCCAGGGGTCCCGGGGAAAGAGGAGGGGGGCAGGGTCGAGGGAGGTCTTGGCTTTAGGGGTTCCCTCGCCTCTCCTCGTTCTTTTCTCAACAGTTCTCTCCTGTGAGCACCATGGAGCCCTTGGGCCTGCAGGTACTGGGGAGAGAGAGGCGCGGCAGGGAGGAAGGCCCCAGGGGGCCTCGCCTGTGGCTGTTGCAGGGTGGGGAGACCTGTGGGAAGGGTTGCTCTCCATCTGCTTCCTCCTTTCTTCAGCTGATGAGTGGGCAGACCCAGCAGAAGCTACCCCCACTTTCCCTCCTCAAGTTGGGCAACCAGGTACAACCAGGTGGGGCTGGGGAAGAGTGGGCGGGGCCTGAGGGAGGAGGGCCATCGGCAGGGGCAAGGAAGTGGGCAGGGCCTGAGGGTGGCAGTGAGGCTGAGGCCTGAAGGGAGAGGGTGGGAGGAACCAGAGGAAGGGACCTAGTCCCCTGAATGCCATTGCCCATGTCTGGACTGGGACAAGGCCCTGCTGTCCCCAGCACAGGGGCTTTGAAGGAGATCTTCAACACAGAACCTGGAGCTGACCCCTTGACCCCACTGACCCCTAATCTGTCCCTGCAGGAGCCTGGTGGCCAGACTGCCCCAAAGAAGGCCCCAGGAGACTGCGAGGGGTCCCCAAACCCGGAGCAGACCCGCAGGCTGGCCCAGGCCATGATGGCCTTCACCAGAGACCTCTTCTCCCTGGTGGCCCAAAACTCCACCAGGCCCAACCTGATCCTGTCGCCTCTGAGTGTGGCCCTGGCACTGTCTCACCTGGCACTAGGTACTATGGGAGCACCTGTCCAGACCAGCAGAGCTGGGAGGCCAGTAGGAACTCATTACCTACCCCAGAGTTTACGAGCAGGTGCTTCCTCCATCAGGGTCACTTGGATGTTTGGTAAAAATGCAGACTCCAGTCTCTGTGAATGAGAATCCCAGGGATTGGGCCCAGGATGTGCTTCTGGTGATTTTTGTGCAAGAATATGATAGGTACAATGTCTCCGTTGGACTGGAGGGTCTCACTGTGGGACCTTCCCCAGAGAGGGAAGGCCATAGGGTGAGGTTGCCCAGATTGGCAGCAACAGAGATGAAAGTAAACTTGGGAGTCCTGTCCCTCAGACCAGTTCAGGATATGGGAGGAGAAAGCGCGGTCTCGTGGGCATGCGCACTGTAGGTATTCAAGAGGGATGGGAGAGGGCAGTGGGGGCGGGAAGGACCACAGCTGCTGTGTCCCCTCCAGGTGCTCAGAACCAAACGCTGCAGAGGCTGCAGCAGGTGCTGCACGTGGACTCAGGGCCCTGCCTCCCCCACCTGCTCAGCCGCCTCTGCCAGGACCTGGGCCCTGGGGCTTTCCGATTGGCTGCCAGAATGTACCTGCAGAAAGGTAGGTGCTGGTGGCAGACACTCTCTAGGTTGTGCCCTGGGGTGGACAGGGGTGAGGGAGACGGGTGTGGACTCAGGCAGCCAGTCGGAGCACAGCTGGTTGTGGGGCCCAAGTGCTGGCAACAGCCTGTGGGCCCTTCTGTGCAGGATTTCCCATCAGAAAGGACTTCTTGGAACAATCAGAACAGCTCTTTGGTGCAAAGCCCATGAGCCTGACGGGAAGGAAGAGGGATGACCTGGCAAACATCAACCAATGGGTGAAGGAGGCCACAGAGGGGAAGATTGAGGATTTCCTCTCAGATCTGCCAGATGACACAGTGTTGCTTCTCCTCAATGCCATCCACTTCCAGGGTGTGCTCCTCCCCTTCTCGGCTCCCTGCCCGCAGACCCTACCCCTGCCCTGTAGGCACGCTTTTTTCTGAGGGTCCCTCTTCCTCCCCAGGCCTGGGCCGGGAGGGTAGGAGACAGGTAATGGTGTGGCAGGACGGAGGCCCAGGAACTGGATGGGGCTGTTGTGGAGAGAGTTCCCTAGGAGGAAACCGAGTCTTAAAAGACCCAGGGGAGGTTCCTGGGAACATGGCAGGGCAGGGGAGAACGCAAGCCCAGGTTCTGCAATCACTCCAGGGAACAGACCTCAGATTACCTGTGTATCACCCGGCACAGCACCCCCTGGTGTTTCAGCCTCCACCTTTCATCCCTTAAATGGGTTCTGGGTGGGATGGGGAAGAGACTGGTGGGGTAGAATCTACCTTGGTCCCAGTCTATATGGCCCCTGCCCTCTGCTGGATTCAGGCTTCTGGAGGAGGAAGTTCGACCCGAATCTCACGCGGAGAGACACTTTCCACCTGGACGAGCAGTTCACGGTGCCGGTGGACATGATGCAAGCCCGCACGTACCCGCTGCGCTGGTTTCTGCTGGAGCAGCCTGAGATCCAGGTCACCCTTGGCTCCCCAAGCCTGGGCTTGGGTGCTGGGAGGTGGAGAAGGGAATGGGCCCCTGTGCAGCAGGCACAGGGGTCAGGGGTGTGCCGCACCTTCCTTGCAGTCATGTCGCTGGGGCGGGTGGCTCTGGAAGGTCTCGCTGTACCCCCATCCAGGGAAACTGAGGCTCCAGGCACTGCGGGTTTAGTGGAGCACAAGGAAACAAGATCCCTGCTCTGGGGAGGGAAGACACACAGTGCACGAGCGAACGTAAATCAACAGGATAATTTCAGAGAGTGGGGGGAAGGGTATTCTAGCTAGAGGGGTCAGGGAACCTTCTCTGAGGAGGGGACACTGAGTTGAGTCCCAGGTGATCTTTGGTTATGGGGGTTTATTACAAGGACCCATGGGTCGTGGGGCAGCACAGGGCCTCAGCACCCTGAAGCCTGGGAGATGCGACCCGAGCTTTCACACGGTGCTCCTTGGAAGGGAGGATCTGTCAGCATCCTGATGGAACATTCTGATTAGAGAGAGCGCTGTGTCAAGCTATCTCAGGTGCAGCCTCCCTCGCTTCCAGCCTAAACACGGTCCCCTTGGCCTCAGCGGCTGATCCCTGGGCCAGTCGGCTGTGGCTGAGACCGCAGTGTTGGTTAGTTTCACGAGGGCTCTTCTGAGAGGGGCTGTGGGTGAGGCAGGCCCTCGGAGCAGTGTCCCTGCTTCTCTCTGGTTCCCCCGACACGTGGCCCATCTGGTTCGCCTCCCCACCAGTTCTATTCCTGCTGCCCCTTCCCGCCAGGCTGTGTCCTGCCCACACTTCCTTCACCCTTCCGTCTCCATCCTTGGCCCTCCTTGGTCTTCCTCTTGTCTCGCCCGCCCTCTGCGTGCTGGCCCGGGTAGCCAGACACTGGCACTCCCCCTCCCGCCACAGGGGTCCTGCCCTCTGGGCGCTCTGCCTGGAGCCCGAGGAGTGACATCCACCAGGGCCCACGGAGCCCAGTGGTTTTCACACTTCTTTAGCTGCGGAAACTCTGTTCACATGAAATCTCACCCCAAATCACAGTATAGATACACAGCCAGGCAAAGTCACAGTTGGAGGAGAGAGGAGTGGATAGGGTACCACCCTTGGAAGCGGCTCCTCTGCTAGGGCAACCTGGTCCATTGTACGCATGGAAGTGAGAGGCGGACATAGGGGGTTCCTCACCCTGAGTCACGGGCTAGCTGGTAGCAGAGGAGGAGAGAGAAAACTACCAGTTAGTGAGTGAGCGCCGCCTACGTGCACACGCTCGGCCAGAAACTTTAAAAGCTTCTCTCTTTCTGTCACATGTCAGCCAGCAGTGTGTGCAGGTAGTGTTACTCCACGGGTGAGGAAGCGGAGGCTCAGAGAGACCCCGCACACACCTGTGAAGGATGGAGTGTCTCCTAAGCGATGCCGGCCCAGTCCCCACTTCGGCCTGGGCGCTCTCTGGTCCTCACGCCGTCTCCTTGCCTTGTCTGTAGGTGGCTCATTTCCCCTTTAAGAACAACATGAGCTTCGTGGTCGTCGTGCCCACCCGTTTCGAGTGGAACGCGTCCCAGGTGCTGGCTAGCCTGAGCTGGGGCGTGCTGCACCAGCCCTTGCTGCGGGAGAGGCCCACCACGGTCCAGCTGCCTAAGCTGCACCTGAAATACCAAATGGACCTGGTGGCCATCCTCAGCCAGCTGGGTAAGGAGGCCGGGCGTGGGACAGCTCCCGGCTCAGCTGGACAGGGTGGGTAAGGAGGAAGCCCCCCAGCCGGCAGGCCTGAGTCAGAGCTAGACTTGCGTCCTGGCCTTTTCTGGGGCTTAGGGAGGTGAGAGGGTTTGATGTGCACCCTCGGACTCTCTGTCCTGGGCAGGGGGTGGGGCAAGGGAATGAGGACCTGCTCTGCCCAAGGCTGAACACCGCAGAGAATCCTGGGTGGAGAGCCAGGGGTGGCACGTGAGCCTCGCTGGCTCTCCTGCTAGAGGCACGAGGAGCCCACCATGTACAAAGAGCTGAGTCTCACGGGGGTCTGCAGAGGAGGAATCAGGTACTTACAATTCAGCGTTAAGTGATAAGACAGAGGGCTTCTCTCTAGTCCACCCAGGGAACTATTGAAAAGGCATCTGCCTGGACTTCGGGGCAGGGGCTCAGGGAAGGCTTCCCGGAGGAAGGAACCTTTAAGCTGATACGTGCAGGTTAACTAGGAGTTAACCGGCAGTCTGTGGGTTCAAGGTGCTCCCTGGCCGGGACGCCAGACACCCTCCCAGGCAGGTCCATGCAGCGTGTGGGGCAGAAGGCAGCTCTGACCAGCCATCTCCTGGCCTGGGCAGGCCTGCAGGAACTGTTCCAGGCCCCGGACCTGCGCGGGATCTCAGACCAGAGCCTGGTGGTGTCCAGCGTGCAGCATCAGTCCACGCTGGAGCTCAGAGAGGCCGGCGTGGAGGCGGCCGCGACAACCAGCACGGCCATGTCCCGCATGTCCCTCTCCTCCTTCAGCGTGAACCGCCCCTTCCTCTTCTTCATCCTCGAGGACAGCACGAGCCTGCCCCTCTTTGTGGGCAGCGTGAGGAACCCCAATCCTGGCGCGCAGCCGGAGCTCAAGGAGCAGCAGGACTCCCCTGACAACAGGGACTTTTTCCAGCACCAGAAAGGCTTCCCCCGCGGAGACAAGCCGTTCGGCCCTGACTTAAAACTTGCGCCCCCCTCGGAGGAGGATTACCCCCAACCTAGCAGCCCCAAGTGAGGGCTGTGGCCGCCAGCAGCCCTGAGCCCCGGTTGGACCAGCCTCTCAACTCATTTGACTCTTTCCAAACAGCTTTGTGGGATTGCGGGCGGGGGCCTGGGGCGCAGTCTGGCAGAGGGGAGGAGGGGAGCCAGTCTCTCTTCTCCTCTTGGGGAGTTTGGGGAGGGGCGGCGCTGGGAGGAGGGCAGGCATCGGGGAACCATGGGCCTTGATCCAAAGGGGTTCAGAGGGTGTCCTCGTCTGGGGCTTGGGCGGAAGGGCAGCTGTGGATTCATTTTTGTCAGGAAGGTAGGTAGGTTATTCCCTAAGTTGGCTGGGTCGCCTCCTCGCCTGTTTACCAGAGAGGGAGGGCCGGGGAGGGGGGGACACCTGGCTGGGGAGATGGGGTGGCCCGGGGGTGCCAAGCACTGTTGTGGGATTAAACATGAGGGTGGAAGTCGAGCCTCTGCCCTGAGCTGCCCAAGGCCCAGCAGCCTCCAGACCACCCCGTGGCCTCAGTCTCCCCGCTGGTCCTCGGAGGTACCAACACTGCCAGGACTCCCCTTTTTTCCTCTCCCCTCTGTCCCCCCTGCCCGGCGTCTCAGTGGCTGAGGGGTGGGGGGCGTTAGCTCCCGAAGGCTCTTTTGTAAAGTTTTTGTAGTGATTTTTATGCCATCTGAATAAAGAATGAATGGGCGTGTCTGCTGTGAGGTCACTGTTTGGGGTGTGGGTGGGAGCGGGGGGGGGGGGCTGGAGGAAGGCGGGAGGAGGCCACGGGCTGGGCCCCCAGGAGCAGCAGCCCTCTCTGTGCCACGTTTGGCCTCTGGTCGCTCGCCAGCCCTTCTCCACCGTGCCGTCCCTCTGACTTCACCAGCCCTGCCCAGGGCCACCCCCTTGCCAGCCTGGCTCTGCTCTCAGCCTGTTCCTCTCTACAGACCTCAGGCATCCGGCAACAAAGGCGGCTCAGAATAGCACCAGCCTCCTGGTTTGGGAGAAGAACTGGCAATTAGGGAGCTTGAGGAGTTTCTAATTACACGCCAGCCCTTCTGCCTGGAGCTGGCGCCCGCCAGACGGGGGCGGGCAGGCTGCCGGGAGCACCGGCTCCAGATGGAGGCTGTCAGCGCCTGAGGATTTGGGGGAAGCAATTGGGGGCACCTTGGCACAGAGCTGGGGGCAGCCCTTGTCTGTGAGTATGGGGTGTCCATGTGGCAGCAGCCACCTGCGGCCCTGTAGTGCGGTGGTTAAGAGCAAGTCCCTAGGATGGGATCTTGCTTCTTACAAACCAGCAGTGTGTGGAGATGGGAAGTAAATTAACAGTGAAATACATGGCATGTCAGAGGGTGGTGAGAGCTCTGGTCAGAAGTAAAGCAAGGAAGGCCTCCCTGAGGAGGTGACTTTTGGAGCAGAGACTAGAAGGAGGCAAGGGTGGGTACTATGGGGACATCCTGGGGAAGAGTGTCCTGGGCAGAGGAGTGGGAGCTGCTCAAAAGGTTCAGGATGATCAGGAGATCCGTGGGGCTGGAGTGGAAGGGGTGAGGGGGGAGATGTAGGAAGGAATCAGAGAGGAACTGAGGGCAGACCACTGAGGGATTTAGGGCCCCTGTAAAGACAGTTGTTGTTATCTTAGGAGAGGTAAGCGATAACTGGAAAGTTAAGTCAGCAAGCCCACCAGCTTACTTTTACCTCCTGAGTTTTTCTCAGCTCTCTCTTCCTCTCCATTTGGGCTCTAGCCACAGTTTGGATCTAGTCATCACTCCCGAGGGTCACTGCTGTCGCCTCCCGGGTTCTCCGTGCTGCCGGTCTGGCTGCCTTAACTGCATCCTCCGCCCCGTAAATACTAGTCAAGTGCTTTCTGTGTGCCCAGCAGCTCCCCAGGTTCTGGGGCTGCAGCGATGAAAAAGCCAACAAGACCTCTACCCCCCAGAGCCTAAATCTGGTGGTAGAGTGGTCTAGACAATAAACAAGTTAAAATTTGGGGTTGAAGTATAGTATGCCAAGCACACAAGTCATAAATGTACCTAAGCATAATGAATTTGTTTCACGAACCAAGTACCCCTGTGAAACCAGTACTCAGATCAACGAACAGTACTCACTCTCCTGGCTTCTGATAACAGACTAGTTTTTTCTGGTTTTGAACTTTATGTAAAGGAATCGTGCAGTCTGTCCTCCCTTGTGCCTGGCTGCTTTCATTCAACCTCCTGTTCGTGAGATTCATCCGTGTCGTTGGGGATGGAAATTATTCATTCACTGTGGAAGGCTTTTTTTTTCTTTTTAATTTATTTGTTTAGTTGCACGGGGTCTTAGTCGTGGCAGGCGGGCTCCTTAGTTGCAGCAGGTGAACTCTTAGTTGCGGCATGCATGTGGGATCTACTTCCCTGACCAGGGATCGAACCCTGGCCCCCTGCATTGGGAGCATGAAGTCTTAACCACTGTGCCACCAGGGAAGTCCCTGTGGAAGGCTTTAACTGAGGGGCACCATGGTCTGAGGTAAGCTCTGACAGGCTCATTTGGCTTCTGTGAGGAGAACAGACTTAGAGGCACAAATGCAGGAGGAGGGAGGCTGGTTAGCAGGCAAGAGACATGGGTGGCTTGGCCCAGGCTGCCGGCTCTGGAAATGCAGGAAAGTGGTCAGACTTCAGGTATATTTTGCAGGTAAACGTTATAGAATTTGTGCATAGACTGTACGGCAGATGAGGGAGAGGAAAGAGTTAAGGATGGTGGGGCTTGTCATTCAAATCCCTGGATTTTTGTGTTGAGAAAAACGGGTTTTACTGAGATGGGAATCAGAGTGAGGGACAGATTTTAGGACTGGAGATTTTAGGATGGCAGATTTTTTGATTGGAGATTTCCATTTTGAACATGACTGAAATGCCACACTAATATAGGGTGACCATATGTCCCAGTCTTCCCTGGGATGGTTCGAGTTATGTCTGTGGTTCCAGCTTAATTCACAGCACCCGCTTTTGTGCTTAGAAGTGTTTGGATGATGAATTGTATGTTCCTCTTACATGCTGGGCATCCATGTGGCTATGTCAAATTGGGCTGGAAGTGTATATTTGGGAGCTCACAGATGCACTGAAAGTTATGGAACTGGCAGAAATCACCTAAGAGGAGATGTAGATGGAGACAGAAAAAAAGGTGTCGCAGAAGCCAGCAAGGAAGATGGAAAAGATGGGGCTTTTGAGGTGCGAGAAAAATGAGAGGGTATGGAGAGTCAGGGTTTCAAGGAGGGACAGTTTGCCGTCTGCTGGCGAGGGCAGACATGTCCATTTGGTGGTCAACGCAGACGTCACCCGTGAACTTGGCGACAGCAATTTCAAAGGAGAACTGGGCACAGAAGCAAGTTGGAGAGTGAGGAAGGAAAGGCGCTAAGAGTAAATAGCTCTTCCCCGCATGTCTGGGAGGGAGGGTGGAGAAATGGACGGTAGCTTTAGGGGATGCGGCAATAAAGGAAGAGTCCTTAAAGAAGGGAGTAGCAGATGCTGTTTAAAAGCTGTGGAATGGTCCTTCAGAGAAGGATTCCATTGATTAGGCAGGAGAGGGGCTACCTGCAGGAGCCTAGTCCTTGAAAAGCACCAGTGCAGGCCCTCTCCTTTGGCAGGCATGGGACACACTGCTTTCACGCTACTCGGAAGAAAGAGAAATCTTCTTTCTTTATAAGTTATTATAAATAATTAGGACATACAAAAGGGTATAATAAATCGTATAGGGCCACTGTCCAGCTTAAAAAATATTCTCAATATAGTGATAGTCCTACATTCCCTTCCTCAATCCTTCCCCTGCCCCCAAAACCATCATCCTGAATTTGTTTTTTTATTATTTTCATGCACTTCTTTTACTTTCACCACATGAGTTTTAATCCCTGAGTGGTATATATTAATAGTATCATTCTGTGTGTTTTTAAACCTTCCACAAATGTATCATCCTGCAACTTGGCATCACTCTATATTGTGAGATGAATCTGTGTTAAGTGGCTTCCCTTTAGTATTTCTCATAGCTGTAGGCTTTTTTTTCTTTTTTCACCCCTTTTCTAATCTCCCGTTGCTGGACATTGAGGGAGTTTTCTTTCTTTCTTTTTTTTTTGCCACTACACAGTGCTGCTGTAACATTCTTGCTACATCCTTGTGCACGTGTGCAGAGTCTTTTCAGCTCACATGTTTAGGAGTGGAATTGCTGAGTTGTGGGTTTGGGTTTTCCCTCTTTCACTGCCAGGGCTGCCACATAAGGTTATGCACAACCTTGCCATTTGTTGCCAGACTGTTCTTCAAAGGGGTTGCATCAATTTAGGTTCCTATAAGGAGGGCCCAAGGGATCCTGGCCGTCCACATGCTCACCAATACTTGGTATTGTCAGATGTTTCGATTTCGCCCATCTGATGAGTGTGAAATACACTTATCAAAGTATTTAATCTGCATTCTCCTGATTACGGGTGAAAAACATCTTTTCATAAAGTTATTGGCCACTCAGGAGTCTTCATCTGTGAATTACCTGGGCCTCTTTTTCTGTTGCATTGTTTTCTTCTTTCTTTTTTTTTTAAAAAATTGATCTGTAGTTCTTTCTATATTATAGTTAGTAATCTTTTTTTGTCAGTTATCTGTGTTACAAATATTTTCTCTTAGTGTGAGGCTTGTCTTTTCATTTTGTTTTACGGTATCTGTTCATGAAAACAAGTTTTTGATTTTAGTGCCAAATTTATCAATCTTTTATAATTTGTGCTTTTTTTGGTGTCTTGTCTAAAAAAACTTTCCTACTGAGAGATCACAGATAAATCCATCTATACATTTTTCTAAAATATTTACATTTTTTCCTGTTGTGTATCTGTGTTTGCATTTGTTGTTTAAGCCATTAAAATGATCTCTGAAAGGATACATATGAAAGAGATTAACATCAGCCGTCTCCACGGAGTGGAATCAGGTGACGGGGGATCAGAGTGAAAAGGAGTCATTCACTGTATATCTTTAGTTGCTTTTGAGTTTTGAACCATATTTAAGAAATACCTATTCAAAAATAAGTGAATAATTTAAATAAAAAGTCATTAAAAAGGTTCTGCAGGGACCCCCTCCTGCACTGTTGGTGGGAATGTAAACTGGTACAGCTACTATGGAGAACAGTATGGAGGTTCCTTAAAAAACTAAAAATAGAGCTACTGTGTGAGCCAGCAACCCCACTCCTGGGCATATATCCAGAGAAAACCATAACTTGAACATAATAATAATAATTATTATATATAGAATAATTATTATTCCAATATTCATTGCAGCACTATTTACAATAGCCAGGACATGGAAGCAACCTAAATGTCTATCGACAGGGGAGTGGATAAAGAAGATGTGGTACATATGTGCAATGGACTATTACTCAGCCATAAAAAAGAATGAAATAATGCCATTTGCAGCAACGTGGATGGACCTAGAGATTGTCATACTGAGTGAAGTAAGTCAGACAAAGACAAATATCATATGATATCGCTTATATGTGGAATCTAAAAAAGTGGTACAAATGAACTTATTTACAAAACAGAAATAGAGTCACAGATGTAGAAAACAATCTTATGGTTACCAGGGGGGAAAGGGGGCGAGGGATAAATTGGGAGATTGGGATTGACATATACACACTACCATACATAAAATTGATAACAAATAAGGACCTACTGTATAGCACAGGGAACTCTATTCAGTACTCTGTAACGAC